TCTAAAATTACAAAACTACCCTCAATCACTTCCCAAAATTTCCAATCTTTCCTTCTTCGACAAATCAAGAAGAAGGAAAATTTATAGAACATCAAATCCAAGTACCAATCACGCCTCTAAATGAGATTTGTTTATCTGGTTGTCTCACATTCAGCAACCTTTATACAACATTTTAGGAAAGGAAAATGCTAAGCCTACTAACAGTTGATACCAAACTTGAATAGGAAGTGACTTGGCATTTGGCTCTGCCGCGTTCTATCTGTTATATTTCGGGTGATGGGAACAAGAAGGAAAACTCCACCACGGAATTTGGTGAGAGAACGGTTGGAACAAGGAGGAAAGTTGAAGGCTGGAGACAGTTTCTTCATTTAGTCGACTCAATTAATTCAAACATCAATTTTAGCTCTGTTTTTCTTTTCAGGATCCTCACTGATGTGGCTAGCCATCCCGACAAGCCAGCTCAGCTTGTAAGGGAAGTTTCTAAGCAGTATTCATGAGCATAGCAGTACTCTGCAGGAAATACCCAGCTTGTGGGTGCTGAGTTGCTTGTAAACGTGGAGTGTATGCTTGGGACACCGATTAGATCTGTTTGCTTTGTCGTTTTACTTCTAATTGATGAACTGAAGCTATGCCACTTAATTTGCTGGCAATCAAGCTGTTGTTTAGTCTTCTGCTATTTGCAGCCTTGTACAAGGATAGTGCCTTAGTTCCTCAACTATGAGTACCTTAATGGCCTACATGTGTAAGAGGCGAAGCCTAGCCAAAATTTGCTTTCAATTTTCAATCACACAAGGGTGGACTTTTTAAAACTTTTATTTCTAAAGATGCCGTCTCATCCCAAGGTCGATGATGGGCCTGAAAGGTCCGAGATAATTCAAGTCCTGCTCTTCAAGAGGATTTTTGTAGAGAAAATTTGAAGCCGTCAGAGATTGAGCCTGCTTCAGATGAAGCTCTTGGCGATGGCTTTGTCGACCCCCTCGGCTTGGAATTATTATGTAAGTACTGATGTCTTGGTTTCTTGATTCATTGAAGAAAGAAAGACTGAAAATTTTAAAGAGAAGCATTGGAAATTTTGAGAGCTAATCGATGATAGTTTTCTTTTTTTGTTACTTAACAAATTAATATGACTTATCATGCAATATGAAAATTTTTATGTCAATTGCGAGTTTTGATTAGGAAAGATAATGGGTATCTCGTTCTTTAATTTTTTTTTTTTTTTTTTTTTTTTTTTTTTTTTTTTGCAATACTCATAAAAAGAAACAATCTGCTCATCACCTATTAAGAAATTACCATATAAAATTTTACTCGGTCTATGCCAAGTCTACGTTAGGTTACCAATCCATTCAATACCCCTAAAAATAATTGGTTAAAAATATTTTATTTCAGTCTCAGTGATTTTCAAAAAAAAAAAAAAATTGATCCTTGATTTTTTTTTTCGGTCATTTCCATATAAGTTTTATTGGTTTTCAATGTTTTGGAAAACAAACATTATGATCCTTAATTTTTAAAGTTTATACAATTAGATCTATGAATGTTTGAAAAAAAGAATCAAAATAAATGAATGGATATTAATAGGATAAGAATTAAGTATCATATTCTGAAACCATATTAACGAATATGTATTTTTTTTTATCCACTTTAATACCTATTTGAAATTTTTAATAGACATTTATTGGATCGAAGTTAAACGAGTGAGGTTAAATGGATACATAATTGCTCTATGCCTGATTCATTGCTGCACCTAATTTTGATCATAAAATTAATTAAAAAATAGTTGAAAAGATCACAGTAAAAAAGTTTAAAATAAAGAAGGTGATGAATAAAAAAATATAATAATTATATTAAGAAAATCAAAACAATAACAAGATGTTTCAGGAGGCACAGTAAAACAACCTTGACAAATGCAATGCAATTTAATTCAAATACAGTCATTTCTTATCTATATCCATTCCGGTAATATTTATTGAATTTATTTATTTTAAATTCATAATGACATTTTTTTTGTTATGCAACTCTATGCTGAAAATAGAGTTTAGATTTATTAAAAATTAGACATTCTTTTTCATTAAACCAAAAAAAAAAAAAAAAAAAAAAACCCAATAAGGGTACTACTACGTTAAGTTGAGAAGTGAGATTTTGTTGATTTAATTGATCATGTTACCAAGTAAAGAAGATTTGATTTACTTGGAATCGAAATAAGAAGTAAAGAGAACAAAAAAATTTCATGTACACGGAGAAGGGGAAAATTGAAACTAAGCAAAACATGTCATATCCCCTTAGTTTCTGTACAATGAAAGGGCCACAATTATTGATAATATTGAAGTGTAATTAGATTTCTTTTTATTCTAAACCTATATATATATATATATATATTTTTTTTTGGGAAATGGAAGTCTTTTACGTAGTGATTGATAAGAATTACGGGATACAAAGAATAAGCACGAGACATAAATTTGACACACAAAACGGAAACAAAACTCATTTTTGTCTCTATCAGTGCATTTTTATGCTTCCTAGACGAGGAGAGGGGACAGGAGGACGAAGACAGGGATACAAGTTCTAATTATTTTCCCCTTTTTATCCTCGTAAAAATTTCAGTACTACAAACCATGTCTTTCATTTATCAATCTTAATGGTTTTTTACCCTTAGATATGTTTAAACAAAGACAGTAAAAAAGATAAAACGAAAATCACAGAAGGATAAAGGGAGAGAGAGGAGAAAGCCAGAGAAGAGGGAGAAAAACCTCAGTGATAAAATCTACCAATATTATATCGGCAAATACCAGCTTCAACTTCAAATGAAAGTTTTCATCTACGTACAGAAATTCATAAAGGCTAAAATTAAATTATTTTATTTTCAAAATTAAAAGATTTATTAATTTAAAATTTTAAAAATCAATTTTTGTTAATTGATTGTTTAAAAATAGTTTTCAAAAACAATATTAGTAATTGTCATTGCTTAATACTGATATTATAGCATGCACATCATTATATATATATATATATATATATATATAATGGAAGTTGAATATCACATTAATTAATCGTGACAGTTACGTGGTTAAGGGCCACAAGTTGTCATAGAAGTTGACTTCAACTTTCTATTTACCAAGTATCTCGATAAAGAGGATTTTCTTAATTTATTTTTTTAATTTCAGAAATCTTTGTTTTCATGTGTGTATCATGCTAAGGTGCATGAGACTTTTAAAATTTTCAATTCCCCTCAAATTTGTCAAAATATTTGGTAATCTAACAAATATTTACTAAACTGTCATTTTCATTTTGTCTATTTAATTGGATTCTTATTATAATATTTATAGCTAGTCTTGGCAAACTTCTTCTTTTTTTTTTTTTTTTTGAAACTTCGACAACAAGTTAATGGAGTAAATTATGAATTAGTCTCTCTTATTTAAAAAAAAAATGAATTAATTAATTAGCCTTTTTTCTTTCAAAAATAATTATTTAATCTTTCACGTTTTAATTTCATTAATGACTAGTCTTTTCATCAATTTTCAGTTAGATTAATGATTTTTATTCTCAAATTATTTTTTATTATTTTTTTGTGAGGAGAGAGAAAAAGAGTGGATGAAAAAGATAAATAAGACATCAAAAGAAATTGAAAAAAAAATCATTAATCTAACAAAAAATTGATGAAAAAATTAAGTTATTAATAGAATTAAAACGTGAAAAGATTAGTTTTTAAAATGAAAAAAAAGACTAATTATTTAGTTTCTCAAAATAGGAGGGATTAATTTATAATTTACTCCAAGTTAATGTGATTTGATATGGTACTTGCAGGATCTTAATATAGATATATTACATTCTAGCTTAAAGTTACATGGATTATTAATATCAATAAATTTCAGTTCATGTAATATTAACAAAATAAATAACTTTTTCGCTTCTTAAATTCTATATATATATATATATATATATATATGTATATGTATGTATGTATGTATGTATGGCAATAATATTGAAATGCAACAACATAACCAACTTGTATACATTAACTGAATTTGTGATCGCCCATTAATTATATTAATCAAAACAGAAGGAAGGCCGGACAGTAAGAAATCAGTACAAACAATTAGTAGAAACAAATTTTTTCTGTTGTATGCATGCAGAAAGATAAAAATCTGCCGATGCAGAGTTTGTTTAATTTTGGCTCAACCTCTGTCAGGTTCTCTTAGCGTTTTGTTTTTGTTTTTTTGTTTTTTTTTTTCCTTTCTTTTCAGATAAATAAATATTCCTCGAGTTTCTTCTCTTATGTATATATATTGGTCAGAGGTATCCTCCACATGTATATGCATGCTGGCTTGGCTTCACAAAATATCTTCATGTATGCAACTCTTCAACCTGAAGACACCAAAAAGTTTTCTGATGATCAATATTTTTTTTAATAAAGTCCTAATCCTAAGTTCTAAATTGTCTTCTAAATAATTCCAAATGATGATGATACAAAGGAAGAGCCAAATGGGAAATTGGTAGCTCAATTAATTCAAAGGTAAAATTAAGAAACCATTAATTATATCTTTTGATGATGCTGGGATGGCATCAATATTATTGACCGTATATATAGACATTAAGAAAAAGACAAATTAATTGAATAATCCCAGTTCCGATTCTGCTGGCCTCATCGCTGGCGTATCTCTTTCCTCACTGACATTTTGTATGACTAATTAATACTTTTTCTTAATATCATTTACTCTTGTATTTTAGCTACTGTGGAGTACTACTATTTCTTAATGTGATGTTAATCATAACTTAATTAATGTATAACCACTTCAATATTGCAGAAAATATGTATATATATTATTTGGAGATCGTTCTTATTATTGTCCTATATTCACATTGATCGTAGTACAATTATATCAGTTGATGCCATCACTAGTCCCTCCCTAGCTCTATATATATATATATATATTTTTTTTTTGATTGCAATCATACATGTATAGTGTTTCAGGTAGGGTGGATGAAGATCACACTCAACGAATATCATGCGGTCCCCTAGAGATGGATCGTTCCGAATGTAGTCAGAAGCAATCAGACAACAATAAAGAGTTTAATTTTTCCACCAATTTCTAGAACAGAATAGCTAAAGACACAGGATGTGATCAAAGTCTGATATTACACTTACGAATAAATTACTGTTAGTATAAGTTAAAACTCATTTAATCCTGAAAACCTAGCTCGCTAAAATTTAACCATATAGTCCCACAGCTGGAATATGCTGAGAGGCCTGGTTGCTTATAAATCAATAATAGGTAGCCAACGGAGCAATGAAGGATGGCATTAATGGGGTTGATATACTAGCGGGGGAAAGCGCAAATGCAGTACAGTCAACCCAACCGCACTCCTTGAATTGGTTTAACAACTTGTAATACATGATCTCAATTCCTCTTTTGACATGCATTTTCAATTTTGATCTCACAGTACATCTTTTAGTGAATTGTGCGTTCTACATCCATGTTTAGTCTTTGCTAGCTAGTAGTTAATGGGGGACTTTACTGTCGTAGTGGGGAATTCTTTTCATTCATTCCATTCTTCTGTCTTGTCAGGAATCAGTTTATATGCCTGCTGGTTTGCGCAGAGTTTTCTAAATTAATTTGGATTATCTTCTCCAACTTGGGCTACGAATTTTAGTTAATTTGTCGAATTGTTGGTGGAGCAATTTATTCTTGAGTCTTTCGGCCAGTGAGGTTCTCTTGCGTTTAGAATCAGCTTGGTTCCATTTTATTTTACCACTGTCGTAATTCCTGTTTGTTTGAGCTACAAGTAGAGGCAACGTTCTCAAACTTTTGTGCATGCTGACTTTTAGGATTAAAGCAGCAGCGTTTTGTTCTCAAATCAAAATCATTTCTTTGGCAGAAAGGTGTTTTCATTTCTTTTCAATAAGTTCAATATTGTTTCAGTAAATGCAGACTTTAAGGATGGAACGATTTGTCAAAACATTGTCGGAATGAATTTATGTTCTAGCTGTTATCAAGAATTTGCCAATTGAGGCTGTCGATATTGCTTCTCTTACAGCTTCAATCCAACTACACAGGTTCTCCAAAGTTCCTTGTTGTCAACTATAACAAAGAATCATTGCGGACAACATGGCTGATGAAAATGGTCTGCAAGGAGATAAAACCTTTGAGCAGGCTGCAGCAACAATGAGCCATTCAGAAATCGTGGAGTCAGAGATCCAAACTGTAGAAAAGAGTGACAACAAACAAGATTCAGAAAAGAGCAAGGAGAAAAAAGAAATCACTAATGTAGTGCCATATTACAAGCTTTTCTCCTTTGCTGACCCCATAGATTATCTATTAATGTTTGTCGGCACCATTGCTGCAATTGGAAATGGATCCTGCATGCCCACCATGACCATAATGTTCGGACAAATAGTAAATGCATTTGGAAGTACTAGTACAAACATTGAAGAAGTGACTCATGAAGTTTCCCAGGTATTGGAATGCAACTATATTCTGCTGACTCCTCAACTCATCCATATTGATTATGAATCGAAGTCTAATGCACATGCAATTGCCGTATATGTTTAACTTATTTAACTTGAGCTTAATTACTTCCAAACTTCCGTTGTGCAACCTGAGGGTGAGTATTCTCTCATTGGATCTCCGAATAGAAAAGTTTGTTCCAAGGTATATTCATTTATTAACCACTACTTGTGATTTGGATTGGTTGGATTTTCAAGGAACTTGCTCTTCCTAATACTATGATCTGCATTAACCCTACCCAAACTTTACCTAATCTTCTCAAGGAAAAATGATTGCTATGTATCCTGTCATATATATTATGCCATTTATTGTTAATCATCCAGATCTGCCATATCCTCAGGTGGCTCTGAAGTATGTGTACTTGGGTCTGGGTGCCATGGTTGCAGCATTCCTTCGTGAGTCCTTATTAATATATTACACTTATTTCTGAGACAATATTGATCAGACATGCATGGCTTAATCCTTAAAGAGCTGTTAGATAGAGGCTTAGAGCTAAATTGAGAATTGAAATACCTGAGTTTGATATGTACCAGAGGTGTCTTGCTGGATGGTCACTGGGGAGAGACAGGCTGCACGAATAAGAAATTTGTACTTAGAAGCCATTCTCAGGCAAGAAATTGGCTTCTTCGATAAAGAAACTAGCACTGGAGAAATTATTGGGAGGATGTCGGGTGACACTATTCTAATTCAAGATGCAATGGGTGAGAAGGTATAGACATACATTAATTCCCGCAAGTCTTAGATTATATGTCATTTTCTTAGAAATGTGTTAGTTTATGGCATTTGATACATCATCTCCCTTTGTTAATTTTTGTTGCAGGTGGGGAAGTTCTTGCAGCTAGTTACAACATTCACTGCAGGTTTTATTATAGCATTTATTAAGGGATGGAAACTTGCTCTTGTCATGGTATCTTCCATTCCCCTTCTTGTCCTCTCTGGTGCTTTCATGGCCTTTATTGTATCAAAGATGGCATCCCGTGGGCAAACCGCTTATTCCCATGCAGCAAATCTCGTGGACCAGACAATTGGTTCCATCAGAACGGTATGCACAATTGGGCAAGACGTTGATTTTTTTTTTTTTTTTTATCCTTCATTTCAGAATCATGATTGTGATGGTCATTTCCAATGCAGGTTGTATCATTTACAGGGGAGAAGCAAGTTGTGGATCAATACAACAAGTCTTTGACCGAAGCTGTCAAAACTGGAGTGCATGAGGGCTTGGCTATAGGAGTCGGTTATGGTGTGGTTGCACTTATTGTATTCTCGACTTACGCTTTGGCTGTATGGTTTGGTGCTAAAATGATTCTGAATGAAGGTTATAGTGGAGGAGATGTCGTGAATGTAAACTTCGCAGTGTTGACTGGCTCCATGTAAGTTGCAGTTTGCTTCTTTTGAGTTTTCTGAAAGATCGATCTCTCATGAGTTATGTTAAAAACGTATTTAACTTTATTTTCTTAGATCATTTTGATATATATGTTTGTCAGGTCTCTAGGACAGTCATCGTCTTGCTTAAGTGCATTTGCTTCTGGACGAGCTGCGGGGTTTAAGCTGTTCGAGGTAATTGATAGGAAATCACAAATAGATCCTTACAAAACCAATGGACGGATGCAAGAGGATATTCAGGGAGATATAGAACTGAAGGATATTCATTTCAGTTATCCTGCAAGACTTGATGAGCAAGTATTCAATGGCTTCTCTCTCACAATACCTACCGGTACCACTACAGCTTTGGTTGGAGAGAGTGGAAGTGGGAAATCTACAGTTATTGGTTTGATTGAGAGGTTTTACGACCCACAGGCGGGCGAAGTTCTAATAGACGGCATTAACCTCAAAGAGTTCCAGCTCAAATGGATCAGACAGAAAATAGGCCTTGTCAGCCAAGAACCTGTCTTGTTCGCTTGTAGCATTAAAGATAATATTGCCTATGGGAAGGATGTTGCAAGTAGTGAAGAAATCAGAACTGCTGCTGAACTTGCCAATGCTGCAAAATTCATAGATAAACTTCCTCAGGTTTTTAAATAGCAGTATCATTAAAATTTGTTTTTTGTTTCTTTGGAATTTTTATTTCAAGAAAGCTGTCGAGACAATATAGTATCAGTAGTACTAGAACCAACAAGTTTACTTCAGTTTCTGGGTGCTTAGTTTATTTTTGTTAACTGACAAGAGTTGATGCTTCCAGGGACTTGACACGATGGTTGGCGAGAATGGCACTCAGCTATCCGGGGGGCAAAAGCAGAGAGTTGCTATTGCTAGAGCAATTATTAAAGATCCAAGAATTCTCCTTCTAGATGAAGCCACAAGTGCTCTTGATACAGAATCTGAAAGAAGCGTGCAAGCGGCATTAGACAGGGTTATGGTCAGCCGAACTACGGTTGTTGTTGCTCATCGCTTGAGTACAGTAAGGAATGCTGATGCAATTGCCGTTATTCACCAAGGGAAAATTGTTGAAAAAGGTACTGCTTTTGCTCACATTGCTTTCTCTTAATTGGTTACTAAAATGCATCAGAAGCTACCCAGATTCGATTATTGTGTAATGTCGTGGATAACAAATTGTTCATGATTATTTGACTTGTTGATCAATAAGTAATTATTTTAGAATGACAAAAAGAAAAAAAAAGTTCTCATATTTTCACATCATTGTCTTAATTTTTTTTTTTTTAATGCTTTATACTATGCCTCCGTTTAATCTCTCCAAGATCAGTAAATAGGTCTCTCAACTTTGTCAGACATATAGATTACTGCATCCTGATTCCTAATAACTGACCAGGTTCCCACATGGAGCTAACCAAAGATCCTGAGGGAGAATATTCTCAGCTTATAAAACTGCAGGAACTGAGGACACAAAAAGATAATGATGTTCTAAATGATCCAGATGGGCCAGAAAGCTTAGCAGATTCTGGTAGAAATTCAAGTAAACGTTCATCTTTCATAAGATCAGTAAGTCGAGGTTCATCCCTGGGACATAGCAGTCGTCGCTCATTCTCAGCTGCATTTGGTGTGCCCACTGGAATTGATCTTCCAGATACAACAGCAACAGAAGCCCATATTCTTGATTCAGAGTCATCAAAATCACTTCCAGAAGTCCCACTTTATCGCCTAGCCTATCTTAACAAACCAGAGATCCCAGTGTTACTGCTAGCTGCAGTGGCTGCAATAGTTGCTGGTGCAATATTACCTGTTTTTGGAATACTGGTCTCTTTTATGATCAAAACTTTTTTGAGCCACCACATGAACTCAAAAAGGATTCAGCATTTTGGGCATTAATGTTTATGGGTGTTGGCTTGGTATCTTTAGTTATTCAACCAATAAAGCAATATTTGTTTACTGTGGCTGGTTGTCAATTGATAAAACGGATTCGATCGATGTGCTTTGAGAAAGTGATTTATATGGAAGTAGGCTGGTTTGATGAACCTGACCATTCAAGTGGTGCAATTGGCGCAAGACTTTCTGCAGATGCGGCTATGGTGAAAGTTCTGGTTGGAGACGCTCTTGGTATGCTAGTTCAAAATATTGGAACTGCTGTTGTTGCTTTGTTCATCGCCTTTCAAGCATGTTGGCAACTGGCTTTCATAATGCTTGCGTTGTTACCTCTTCTGGGAGTTAATGGATTTACTCAACAAAAATTCATGAGAGGTTTCAGTGCAGATGCAAAGGTTAGTCAATCTGTAAGATTCTTCTACATTTCATGCAAATAGAACCATACTATCAATAATTAATTTTAGATGGTTACAGATAATGTACGAGGAAGCAAGTCAAGTCGCCAATGACGCTGTGAGGAATATTAGAACAGTTGCATCTTTCTGTTCTGAAGAGAAAGTAATGGAACTTTACCGTAAGTCTTGTGAAGGCCCCATGAAGACAGGAATAAGGCTCGGGTTGGTAAGTGGGATGGGATTTGGACTATCTTTCTTCTTGCTCTTCACTGTTTACGCTACCAGTTTCTATTCTGGATCCCGTCTTGTCAGTGCTGGCCATACAACATTTGCTGAGGTTTTTCGTGTAAGTCTCTTCTAGGACTTGTCAGGATTTAAAAGTTTCCGTTTCAACCTTTGCTATCTGATCAGCACATGAGAAGTAAAATGATTCCTTAAGTTCCCAATTATAAATTATCTCCTCTTGTTGGTTTGTAGGTATTTTTTGCTCTCACGATGGCATCATTTGGGATTTCTCAAACAAGTTCCCTCGCTCCTGATCTCATGAAAGCAAAGGGTGCTGCCGCTTCTGTATTTGCAATTCTGGACCGAAACTCAAAAATAGACTCTAGTGATGATTCTGGGACAATAATAGAAAATTTTAAAGGTGAAATTGAGTTTCAACATGTCAGTTTCAAGTATCCCACAAGACCTGATGTCCAAATTCTCAGGGATCTATGCTTGGCAATTGGTTCTGGCAAGGTAACTCTATGTCAGTTTCCTGCAATGTCGTTCAGTGTAATCGTTTCCAGACCAACCATAAGCCGTTAAGACTGGGATAAGAATTAGACATGGTAGAATATCTAACAGTTTTAAGTTTCTTTTTTCAGACAGTTGCTCTGGTTGGAGAAAGCGGCAGTGGGAAATCAACAGTGATCTCATTGCTGCAGAGATTTTATGATCCTGATTCAGGTTGGGTAACGCTAGATGGAATCGAAATCCAGAAGCTACAAATCAAGTGGTTAAGACAGCAAATGGGCTTAGTCAGCCAGGAGCCTTCGTTATTTAATGACACTATTAGAGCCAACATTGCATATGGGAAGGAAGGAAACGCTACGGAGGCAGAAATTTTAGCAGCATCAGAACTGGCAAATGCCCACAAGTTCATCAGTAGTTTACAACAGGTTAGTAAGTCGACTAATCATATTAAAATTCTGTCAGCATTTCTAAAGCTTCTGTTAGATTGGGTTGCATTTCTAAAGATATTAGTTCAAATTACTGCAGTATATATTGTTATTTGGCATAATCATGATCATCATAAATGCTTGAGGGAGCGATTGTTTTCGGAAAATGCAGGGGTATGATACAATCGTAGGAGACCGAGGCATCCAATTGTCAGGAGGACAGAAGCAACGAGTGGCAATAGCTCGAGCGATCGTAAAGGCTCCGAAAATATTACTACTAGATGAAGCAACCAGTGCTCTTGATGCAGAATCTGAACGAGTAGTTCAAGATGCACTGGAAAAAGTTATGGTGAATAGAACCACGGTGATAGTAGCCCATCGACTATCCACAATTAAGAATGCTGATGTTATAGCGGTGGTCAGAAATGGAGTGATTGCAGAGAAAGGAAAGCATGAAACTTTGATCAATATCAAGGATGGTGTTTATGCTTCCTTGGTATCATTACATACAAGTGCTTCATCGTCATGAATCAAACATTTTAGGCTCAATGGTTTATAATTATATATGCATGCAGTTTTTTTTTTTTCCTTACATTTGTACCTTATATTCTTCGAAATTTTTTTTTATTATTATTAAGATTCTCTATTTTTCAAAATTTATCACTTCAAACTTTCATTAATAACATCATCAATCAATGATTGATACCTCATTTTATTTTTTAAGATTTGTTAATGTACAATACTATATATCAATTATTAATTAATAATACTATAACGAAGGTTTTAGAGTCTCGGTTAAAATAAAATAAAATAGATGATTTTAATAATTTTTAATAAAAAAATTCAAATAGTACAAGTTTTAAATGCGAAGAAAACCTTAGGCTTGAATGGTTTGTATGTAGTAATAATTTATGCGTAACATGATGAGAGTAGAGGATTCGATCCATATATTAACAAGTCATATACCTAATAATTACTTGATTATAAATGTGGTGCGTTATGAAAATGAAAAACACAATAAAACAAATTAATGTTATCATAATTATTTTTCCATAAATAATTGTTTCTTATTATTCTCTTTCTTGCTTAGTATGTTTTATCTTCTAAGTTTTGCATTTTTGCAAGAAAAAAAAAAAAAAAAGGCTTAGTTCTTCTCCTATGGTTTCCAACACTTTTATCTCTTCAAGTATAAAATAATAGTCACAAGCGGGAGATTTAACAATCAATAACAGCCACAACTGGGCTTCTCTAAAAGTGGAATATTCTATATATGTATAGTAGTAGCAAAGCAAAATCAACCGAAGTTGGCACATTAACATCTGAAAATACCCTTTCAACAACCGCTGCTCTTTATATATATATATATATATATATACACACTTTTTTCACTTTTTGCTTATCTTTTTCAAAGAGAGACAATAATCTGTAGAGGACTGGATTGCCCGTTACTCTAAACAACCGCTTACAAGTGATCAAAGACATGATCAGTTTCTCAGGCCCACATAATTTATATGTGGTTCGGTCGATATGCATTCCAAAATCCCAAAACTAATTCTGTTTTCTAGACCTATATATATATATATATTGTTGGAATTAAATCTAATTAAGTGGCTATATATAATTAATTTAATTTTCAACTGTTACATTTGATTCCTTAATTAATAGGCATTAGTTTCCTATTTGGTCCGTATGGGATTTATTATTAATTCTTGTCAAATAAGTTGGTTTATATATAGTCAATTAATGTCCTACTTTTTATTGCCCCATTAATTACAACTTATATATATAACCCATGTTGTTTTTTCAAACATATGTGTGTGTGGATTGAACTAAAGCCAATAAAGTTTATGAATTTTAAACAAATTCAAACATATGTGTGTGTGGATTGAACTAAAGCCAATAAAGTTTATGAATTTTAAACAAATTAATTAGTATGTGCTAGTTATTTAATTAACAAAACAAAGGGTTGCTTTTACTCAGAAACTCTTTGAAAAGGTAACTCTTAAAACGTGAGACCAAAGCATGTATGTCCAAGAATGGAATTAACGCATGCATGTTTGGAGTAATAGAAAATGGAACGTTCATTTGCTCCTTTTCCCAACCTCCCAACCACTGCTACTTAATTGTTTTGGATTTTTCTTAGAATCTGACCATAAGATTTGTGTTTGTGGTCATCAGGAAGTGATGAGTATATTTCACTTCTAATTAAATAATGCCATCATAATTAAGGATCGTGACATGTATTGTAGCCTAATTGTGAAGGGCCAAAACGATTTTCACACGTGATGATCCCATGCATTAATTAATAATCACTAAAGAGAATCTGAAAATAAATGAGTTGGCTATTAGTAAAAATTCATGGTAGGAGTATTAATTATGTGAGATTAAAAAAAAAAAAACATGTATTTGACACTTAATGGTATTATTTAATTAAAGTAATGAAAATAATCCATACTTAATGGTATTGTTTTAGTTTTATTTATTTATTTGTTAAAAATCAAATTTGAAAATAGAAACAACAAATGATACTAAACATCAACCTCAGATAATAAAGTTATTAGCATAATTAATAAGGCTAAATGGAGAGAAAATGGAAGAAACGTACGGTAAAAGCGATGGTAAAGAAGCAAGAAATTAATGTCAACGAGCATGAAAGAGAGCATAATATCGGTGATGGGTGGAAGTTAGAAAGAAGAGTTATCATTATGAATAATGAGAAAGAAAACGAAAAGAAGAAATAACCCAGCTAAATCACAATCATAATTTGACACTTACAGTTCTTATCAATTGATGCAAAGTTGCAACTAACAAACAGAAACGTTTACCCTTATATTTCATTTTCAAATGATAAAAAACAAGTATTACTTCAAAGGAAATCGATCCCCCTACTTTTTCCAAGTATTAATTACTTCAACAACTCTCATTATCTCCCTATCTAGCTAGCTAGCTCGCTCCATTCTTATCTGGCTACAACTTGTTATAGCAGAGACACAGTACAGGTCGGCCGTGCTCGTAAATCTCCAAACCAGCAGCAATTCCTCTAACAAATGCTTTCTAGCCGGCCGGTATTATATATATACTACTCTGATCAGATCACCATGCATATTGGTCAGGAGTAACAATTTGGATTCTTGGTGTTCAGGTACGCACTACTCTTTTTTTTTTTTCTTTCGTCATAGAATGGATCCATATCCATTTGTGGGAAAAATTGAACCGTGCACGGTCTTAATTTCTTATGAATAAAAAATGGAGTAACTAATACGAATTGTTAATTTACAGAAAATCTTATGAGTAGCTAGGTTTCTGTTCATAGAAAATGTTAAAGGTTTAATTAGTTGCATCAATATTTTTTATGATCCGTTTCTAATACTTCTTGAACAAAAGGAGAATTTCGGTTAGGGAAAGCCGTTAGCTATGGCAAAGTTTTAAATAGTAAGTGTCTTATATATTATGATCACAATGACTGATGACCAATCTTTTTCACCATAAATTTGGTGATAGATACCACCAAAATATTATTGGCTGAAAAATGAAAACTTGGAACCTAACCACCAAATCCAAAAAAGGAATAAAATTTTTAGCTTAATTTTTCAGGTATATATATATATATATATATACTTAATCTGTCACTACAAAAAAGAAAAAAAAACCTTTATTAATTTTTAATATACAATGAACCACTTAATTAATTTAGTTACTACTCATTAATAACCTTAATTTGTTCTACTCCATGCATATATTACAATTCAAAATATCGGAGAATATAATTAATTGCAAAAATAATTAATATTGAGCATTTAAATAACAATAAGACAACGAAAAATTTCATAGTTATTATTAGGATAATTGTCACATCAGGTAACAAACTCAATAAATTTTGCCTTAATGATTTGGCATAATAGAATTGAATCCTATAGCTGAAAATCATCCATTCTTTCACTTATTTTAGAAGTTTTATTTTATTTTAAAATAAGTAGGCACTTATAAGTACTCAAAGTCTTCTATATATTTTTAGATTTTTAATTATATCTCATTTGCTCTTAAAATTTTTTAAAGTGTTATATCTGTATTTTCAATTTTTAGTTTTATTTTTTACCAAAATACCTCTTAAAAAAAATTAAGCTATATTACCTACATGCTCTATTTTTAAAATTTTTGGTTTTTAGTTTTTTTTAATTTTTTTTTATATGTTTTAATCAAGGGCATTTTGGTTAAAAAATTCATTTGGTAAAAAAAATTGATCGTAAGGACATAATTAATATTTCAAACATTTTTAAGGACAAATAGGATATAATTAAAAACTTATTTTAGATGCATGATCTCTCTTTTTCTCCCGTTTGCTTTTTGTTTTGTAATTCTTCACCAATAAATTAATTCTAATTCCAAATTAATTGGGCAAATGATCACTATCATGCTTATATTCCTTTCAGCTATACGATAAAAGCATATACTAACACCAATATCAAACTTGATTTTGACATTTAGATTGCCCGTAAGTATACATATGGAGGTCCATTGCTTAATTACTTAAATTATTAAAATGGTGATTGCCATTAATACGTAAGGCATAGAGCGACCATCCTTTCTTTTTGTCTTCGAATCCTGTTGCTTTCCTTATTGTTGTTTGCCATGATGTTAAAAGACAGGTGCATTATACAATGACGGAACAAAGTGACCTAGTCAAAAAATTTGAGATAAAATGACATTATATATTCTTATATAATTGAATTGGTTTTCAATTTATTTTTATATTTTTAATTAAATAAATTTTATTTTTATAAAATAGCTGAGTATATATTTTAAAAACAAATAATGAATATAAAAATAAAAGTACCTATTTTGTAGCAATATCAATTTTTAATTTGCTTAAAATTATCATATTTCACGAAGACATGGATGTATAAAACTCGAAACATATGATTTTTAACTACTTGAAGAATTAGTAATTATTCATTTAATTTATTTATAATGAAGAGGTTTGTTATTTTTTTTATTTTTTTGGGTTAAATTTTGGAACGAACATCGAGAAGAATTTATAAAAAAAAATCATCTAGTTAAAATAAAAAAAATATATATATATATTTGAAATCATTTAAGAAGAAATTTAATTCAGATTGACTCTCATTGATAGATTGCCATATCGAAATATAATTAATTTAGTCAAAGAATTAGTAACTATTCATTTAGTTTATTTATATCGAAGAGGTTTGTTATTTTTTATTTTTTTTAGTTAAATTTTGGAACCAATATCGAGAAGAATTTATTAAAAAAAAATTCATCTAGTTAAAATAAAAAATATATGTTTTTAAAATCATTTAAGAAGAGATTTAATTCCAATTGACTCACATTGATAGATTCCCGTATTGAAATATAATTAATTTAGTTCCAATAAAAATCTAGAATAATTTCCTAAACATTATTGACAACTATGGTTGATAAGCTTCTCATGTAGAGCAACCATCATTTTTTTTTTTTTTTATCTCTTAGGCATCTTTATTTTGGCTTCCAACGTACCTTGCAAAGATATTAACTTCTGACTAGTTTGAAATTATTGGGTCTCACACCATAACAAGAATGGATCCAAAATATGTCTTCAAATCCTTTTTTTCTAATATATTTTTTCAATAATATGTTTCTTTTAAGCATTCATGGGATAGAGCTATAACAGTTTGTTAATACCAATATATTTTCACTTGAATAAGATGTCTCAAGCAAAATTCAGTTTAAACCAAAAAATAAAATTAAACCGTCATCCATCATTAGTTTAATTTATTCAGTTTAATAATCTGATTTTAATTTTGGTTCGATTTGAAAATTAAAAAACGAATTTACATTTTTTTTTCTTTTAATTTAGTTATGAAAAAATTTAAATGCTAAATTAAAAAATTAACTTCAGAAAAAAACAAAAAATCAAATTGAAATATTTCGATTTATGTAATTCATTTTCCGGAAGTTCGGTTATGAGAAACCAAATCGGAAAAAAAAAAAAAAAAAAAAACAAACAAACAAACTAGCTAGCTATTGCACAAACTTGCAAGGGTAGCCTTAGCTTGTACTTGTACACCAACCTTAGCTAAGCTATAACGTGACTTAGAACCAAACATTACGGGTAGGGAGGTGATCAAATTCAGCTTAGTTAGGAGGAGACAAGTACTTGTAACTAATTAAACGTATGACCAATGATTGAGGTGTAAGCTTTAAGGTATCAATCATCCATCAATGCATAGCAAAATTAAGGGTGGCTGTCCTCATTTTCTAATCACTATTATTCCCCAAATACCAGAACGTGTGCTTCTCACCTTTACTTCACCGGACCCATCTCATTATTATTAGCCGTCCGACCAGTTCTTTTGAAAGTGAAAAGCAAGGAAGTAACTCTTAATCAATTAATGTATTTTCTGACTATTCCCGGATGTTTCTTTGTCTGAAACGGAAAGGGGCTTGACTTTTCACTACTATCTGTACGTTTTAATGAATCTAAGAGAATTTTCCGTTACTATACTAGTAAACATTCTATTTCCACCTAAATGTCTCTCATAAATTAGTAATTAAAGATCAGTGATGAGAGAAGTGAGTGTTGAGCCGTGTGTGTCTTCTTTTGATTGATTGGTAGTATAAGAACAAGCATAAAAGTTTGCAACTTTTGTCGGATTACTGATCATGTACTGTTGAAGCAGCAGGTGGTCAATGCCCACCCACAAAATCACTGCCACAAAAAGGTTAACCCACGGCTCACGGGGTTCCCGTTCGCTTTCTTTTTCATTACAAAACAACCCCACAAGACATACCCAATTTCCCATCCTTGTTTCCCATTATTTTTGTACTAACTTGTGTTTTCTTGTTGTTGTTTCAGTGTGGTGTACAACTTGTTATCCTTCGCAAACATTTCAGAGTTAAACCAGAAATCAAGATTTTCGCTAAACCCACCACAGGGGCCAGCCATGTCACAATATTCCACAACCCCATCTCGTCTCAAAGTCAATTTTAAGACCACGGAGTCACCAAAACCAGCCGAGGTTGCTAATAATGGGTCAACAATACCATCACCAGCCAACAAAACAAGAGCAAAATCAGTGCCTCCAGATGTGAAGAAAGACACCAAGGCAAGGAAGTCGCTGGTGGGGAACAGCAAGCCAAAATCTGGAGAGCAGGTTGTGGGATCTCAAAAAGGTAGGGAGAGCGAGGATGTTAGAGTGGTGGATCGCTCTGTAAACCGACCAGTTAACGAGCAATTTGCTAGGCCAAGGAGGCAGAGGCCTGTATTGGACTCTATTAATGCTAGTAGAAGAAATGAAGAAGAGAGTTATAAAAAGGGATTGCACGAGAAACTTGAATTGACTGAGACTTTGGTTAAGGATTTGCAGTCTGAGGCATTGGCTTTGAAGGCAGAATTGGATAAAGCCAATAGCTTGAATGAAGAGCTCGAGCTGCAGAACAAGAAGCTCACTGAGGATCTTGCTGCTGCTGAAGCTAAGGTTTCAGCTCTGAACACTCGTCACCAGGTGAGTATATTAACTCTTTTTTACCTTCTTTAATGATTTGATTGTGTTTTAGGGGAGACGTGTTGTATTTGATTGAGTAGCTTTTACAGAAGAAAAGTGATTTTAGGTAACAGTCTTGTGTTCATTGATATAGTTGTTGTTGTTATTATTATTATTTCAATTGCTACTATTTTTGAATCGAAGGAGTCTGCTGGAGAGCACCGGAGACCCAAATTTAAGGACATTCAGAAACTTATTGCCAATAAATTAGAAAATTCACCAGTTAAGAAGGAAGCAACCAATGGACCAAGTACAGTTAAAACCCCACAGGCACCACCTCCCCCACCACCACCACCAGTATTACATCCCACAAACAAAGCTGATGTTGCAGAAAGAAAGGCTCCAACATGTCCCTCCTTGCCACCACCTCTACCACCACCCCTACCCCCAATGCGGCCTCTAGCAAGGGCAACTACTGCTCCAAAAACTCCAGCAATTGTAGAATTCTATAATTCAATAAGAAAGCAAGAGGGTAAGAGAGATTCTCCAGGACTGCGTGGTCAGTATAAACCAGCAACAAGTAGTGCACACAGCAGCATAGTTGGAGAGATTCAAAATCGTTCCGCACATCTGTTAGCTGTAAGCATTTTGAGATTTGGAGATTTTGCCTTGTAATTTCTTGTTTTGTTTCTGTTGGCTCTGCTCCATATTATTGTTTGAACCATTGTCAACTGCTGAATTTTTGTAGATAAAAGCAGATATTGAAACAAAGGGTGATTTCATCAATGGTCTTATCCAGAAAGTGCTAGCTGCAGCTTATACAGAAATTGAGGATGTGTTAAAATTCGTAGATTGGCTTGATGGCGAACTCTCATCTTTGGTAAGTTTCAAAGCCTTTGAAAGTCATCCACTAATAGCCAGTGGCTGAGTTACGCGGTAGACGTTTAGAGTTGGTTGTTAGTTGTTCTAGAATTTACTGCTGCTTTATATATGTATGTTGCATGGACATTAGTCTAGCACCCAACTACAACTGAGAGAAGGTAAAATAAAGGCAATCTGTGTACTATTGAAAAACCTGAAATCATCAAGGAGATTTGTATCTTCACAAAACTTAGATGAGTTTCTTTTGCTGCATTCATCTCTATATGATTTATATACGTTGCATTTCTTTCTGACATTCATTGGATGTTCTTTTTCTGATCTATATCTGCCCCTGTACCCTGTCTTCTACAGGCTGATGAACGAGCTGTGTTAAAGCATTTCAAGTGGCCGGAGAAGAAAGCAGATGCAATTAGAGAAGCGGCTATTGAATATCGTGGCCTTAAACTATTAGAAAGTGAGATATCTTCATATAAGGATGACACTAATAATCCATGTGGAACTGCCTTGAAAAAGATGGCTGTCTTACTTGACAAGTAAGGATTATATGTATTTGGTTACGTAACCAAAAATATGCCATTTGAAGTGTAATATTGTTCACCAACTGGTGTGTTTCCCAATTATGCAGGTCAGAGCGGAGCATTCAAAGGCTGATTAAACTTCGAAATTCAGTTATGAATTCTTATCAGGCTTGGAAAATTCCAACTGATTGGATGCTTGATTCGGGAATTGTGAGCAAGGTATGCCTTTCTTTCTATATCTGCTTTCTTATTTACTTATGAATGCCAGAGTATTATAGAGGTGAAACTTTTGGTCATGCTATGCCAGCTTATCTACATACTTTAAATGATTTTGATTCTCAATATCTCATATGCTTGTGTTGGTAAATGATAAGGACATGTCCTTCTCTGTTCAAACAACTGCTGCTGATTTGTCAGTGTATGGATCTGTTTTGGCGGTGCCCATGAACTGAAAAGTTGTAATATGATTGCAGATAAAGCAGGCTTCTATGAGGCTAGCAAAGATGTACATGAAGAGAGTGATAACAGAGCTTGAATTGGCCCACAATTCTGATAGGGAATCCAATCAAGAAGCACTCCTGCTTCAAGGTGTGCATTTTGCATATAGGGCTCACCAGGTAATGCATGAGTGAGCTATTCCTGTGGTTTTAATGCTTGTTGATGTGCATTTTGCAAGGCAATTTTCATGTTTTTCTTCTATTTATACCCACAGTTTGCCGGAGGTCTTGATTCAGAAACGTTGTGTGCCTTCGAAGAGATAAGACAGCGTGTACCGGGACACCTAGGAGGATCTCGAGAATTATTAGCTGCCATACGATCATCATGAGAAGATAGATAACATCTCTTGAAGCCAGCTTAGGTTTTTGTAAGAATCAGTGGTTGAGCATTTGTTTTCTTTCTTCCCCGTGCTAGTTGTGCTATGTCTATGAAAAATATCTAAAGCAGCTAGAAGCAAAACCCAGATCATCTGTCAGGATAAAGAGATGAAGATCAGGCTATACAGAACTTGTGTAAATTGAGAAAAAGCTGTACCATATATTAGGCAGATATTGGGAACAGAAATGTTGATGAGTACACAAGCAACAAGAAGTAAACTAATGGATAATTCACTACTTGTTTGCCAATCAGAGTTTTCATTTAATGTAATAATCCACTGACAAAGCATATCGTTTTTTTTTTTTTTTTTTTTTTTTTTTTTTTAAGATAATGCACGAAGGACGTATTATTTGCAAGATGCCATTGAATGATGCTTTCTTTCTATTGGGAATCTGTCCTCTGTTTTTTGGTTGTTGCCATGCATTCCTTATGTTGGTCAAATTCGGTGTGAAGCTTAATGGAATTCAATTGCAATTATTGTTATTATTTTTGTTTTAACATAAAATCTAATTAAGATTAAATTCTTTTCAAAAGATCTTAAATGTTTGCTTCTCACGTCAGTATGTTATACTCAAAAAATTTAATAAATTTTTCATGGCTTTAAAAAAAATTAAAAATTAAAAATTAGCATATACAAAACAGTATCAATTGGTGGGTTTTTTTATTTTTATTTTTTTGAAAATCACAAGAATCGGATTTGAGTGATATCTATTTGGACCTTTATTTTGGCATGTTTAAACGATGAAATCTGCTCTTTGACCATATCCATGTTCATATTTGGAGACTTTTGGAGGCTTGGTGCAGCATTCAAATAATAAATGCATCCTTTTGCTTCTATTTTTATCATCATGGGTTCCAATTTATTTATTTATTTATTTGGTCCTTGTAAGTTGGATAAAATCATATCGAAAAGGGATGCATTGAGATTCTCTTATTTTCCTTAGAAAAATCTAAATTACATTAATGTATAATAATAAAAAAAAAGCAACAATTTAATTTCTAATTACTTTTTTTCACCTAATTCAAATCATTAAATTCAAAATTAATTTTTTTTTTAAATAAAGGATCGGTTACGTTTATTTAAAAAACATAAAAAGATCCAAAATCTATATATTTGACATTCAATTGACGGGTCAAATATAATAAGAATACAAAAAAAAAAAAAAAAAAGAAATAAAAGATATTAGATTAGGAGATTATTGCTGGATAAAACATCATTTCACATATGGACATTGAGACTTTCTCATTTTCTTTAGAAAATCTAAATTACATTAATGTATAATAAAAAAAGCAACAATTAAATTTCTAATTACTTTATTTTTCACCTAATCTAAATCATTAAATTCTAAATTAATTATTTTTTTTAAAAAAAGGATTGGTTACGTTTATTTAAAAAATATAAAAAGATCCAAAATCTATATATTTGACATTCAAGGGATGTGTCAAATATAATAAGAATACAAAAAAAGAGAAAAAAATAAAAGAGATTAAATTAGGAGATCATTGCTGGATAAAACGTCATTTCACGTATGGACATTGAGATTCTCTTATTTTTCTTAGAAAAATCTAAATTACATTAATGTATAATAAAAAAAGAAACAATTTAATTTCTAATTACTTTATTTTTTCACCTAATCTAGATCATTAAATTCAAAATTAATTATTTTTTTAAAAAGGATCGGTTATGTTTATTTAAAAAATATAAAAAGATCCAAAACCTATATATTTGAAATAAAAATACAACGAGAGAGAGAGAGTGATAAAAGGGCTTAGATTAGGAGATCATCGTTGGATGAAACGTCATTTCACATATGGACGCCCTCGCGAGAAATAAAATGCGGGCAAGGATAATTCTGGGATTTCCCATATCCATATGAGAGAGAAGAAAACAAAAAGCTGACCTCGAATTCCTACGTGTCAACAGAATTTGTCTACGTGGTGCCGTGGTGGTGCCCGTTCCAAATCAAAACCGTACAATCTCCAACAAAATAATCGAACAGCAGAAAAAGAATTCATACTCGTGTCTGAAGACAGACAAAGCGTGGCAAACTTAAAACGGTCACGAGCCCGCCAAAAGCAAACGCCATGTCATCTAGTTCCAATAATTTTTGTCCACGTGGACGAAACGGTTGACATCCAAACATTTTTTCCTCACCTCCCTTGCGTGCGTAAGCAAGCAAAACAGCAAGTTTTGAGAAAGAAAGGAAGAAAGAACCTCATCTGTTTAATCCAATCTAGGTAAACTTGACGAAAGTAATGGAGATCTCAGGTGTTATAGCCCGTCAGCCACCCTGTTTCTCTGGCGGTGGACTTGGCGATCCTCAGACTCGCTGCGAAGTTTCGATGAGACCCAGAAGAATTTTAAATGGATTTGGGGTTGTAAACAAGGATCATACAGGATTTAGAGATAAAGGGCATTTGAAGTATTACTATGGATCGGAAGGATTAACAGTGAGGTGCGGAGGGAAAAAGAAAGACAAAGAAACATCAAGTAAGAAGAAGTTGAAATTGCTGAGAGAATTGTCTAGGGACTTGTCTGTTCCTCATAATGGTTTGGTCGGTGATGTTCAGGCCAGCCTCATCTCTGTACGTTTTCCTCCTTTATTATTCTATTACCTTCCTTCTCCTTCTCTTGTTTTGTTTTAAAATTTAGATGCATGTCTGAGATTTACTAATACCAAAATTAAGTCGTGTTGCTGATTTTTGCTTGGTTTTATTCTTCCAAAAGTTGAAAGTTAGCAATTTTTGTTTGCTTCAATTATAAAATAGTGGAATTGAAAACTGTCTGCCTGTTGAAATTTATGGAGCCAGTGATTTAACAGAATCTCTAAACCAGTCTTGCTTGTTTGATTAGTAGTTTAAACCGTGATCACTCAAAGTTCAATCAGGATGTGCCCTTTTTCTAAATTTCCCATTTTTATCTGGGCAGATGTTGGTGATTAATGCTGAATAATGTGTGCATTTAGTTTAGAACAGATCCGTTACTGATCGAGTGTTTTTCTTTTTCCAACTTTGTATGCAGGAAGCAACACAAGTACTGATGAAACAGTTACAGCAGTTAAGAGCTGAGGAGAAAGAGTTAAAGAGGAAGAAGAAAGAAGAGAAGGCCAAGCTGAAAGCTGCAAAGATGAAAACCATGCTTGACTGTGAATCATCATCATCGTCTGAATCAAGCGATAGCGAATGTGGGAAGGTGATTGACATGAACCGTTTGAGAAAGGAAGCAGTTGCAGAGCCGGAGATTGGTGAATTGCAACCAGTTGCTGAAGCTGAGCCAACTTCAATCCTCCCGTCCTTGCTGACCCAAGAATCGAATACTACAGAGATAAATGGGTTTCATGATCGCGTTTTAGGAATTCTTGGAGGTCAAAGCACCGGTTGTATCAACACTGTTAGGGTTAGTTGTAATGAAACAAGTTCCTCAATGACAGCAGGAACATCTGCCAAGAAAATTGAGGTTTGCATGGGTAATAAGTGCAAAAAGTCAGGAGGTGTAGCATTGCTTGAAGAATTTGATAGGACAGTTGGTATAGAGGGTGCTGTTGTTGGATGCAAGTGTATGGGAAAGTGCAGGGATGGTCCTAATGTGAGGTTGTTGAACTCTGGTTCTGTGGGAGTGGATGATTCTATAAGGACTCCGGCTAATCCTCTCTGCGTTGGCGTTGGTTTAGATGATGTTGATGTTATCGTGGCCAATTTCTTTGGGAAAGAGTTGAGTGTTGCTCCTGCAACTTAGCATGACCATGACCTTTTACTGTTGATAACCCAACGTAGTTTTTTGTATTTCAGTTGGCCTCAAAAAGTGTTTTTTCCTGCTTCTTATGGCCTGCATTGTTACTGGCATGGCCGGATAAAATTCCCTCCACTCTATAAATGTAACTACATAAATGACAAGTCTTCATTTACATCCTTCTCTGTAATTTTTTTTCATGAAGCTCCCCCTTTCATCTCTAATAATCCACAAGTAGTCTAAGGGACCAACAGTCGTCGTATTCTTATAGCTTATGATAGATAACTTAAGATGGGAAAAGAATGTTATGTTAGAAAGGGTTTTTAACTGTGAACTTAAATGCTGTCCATTTAAGATTTTATTGCACTACACAGTACATTTTTGTGAATGCTATTTTAACAATTTCTGATCTACTGTAAAAGGTATGTTAGATTGTTTTCACAAAATGCTTCAGTTGATACATCATCCTCTTCAAATGGGTAAGAAGGAAGATCCAACCAACAGTTTCATCCAAAAACTGGTACAAAAAGCAGTTATTTCCAGCAGTGGCTACTGTACAGAAGAATATCATTAGACAACAATTTACATGCCTATGTCAGTGTAGCAGTCTGTAATTTGCTTGTTTTAGTTCAAGGGTCCTTCGTTGCAAGTGAGTGTCCCAACAAGTACGAATTGACCAATTCTCCACTAGCGAAGAGAGGACTAGGGAGACAAACTGTAATATGATGACAACACTGTACGCAGCAAACTATCGCCACAAATTTCAAGTGCATTCACTGGCACAGCATCATGTGCATTTATAAATACAATACCATTCTGCTTTGCAATTCATTCAGTGCCTGGGGTATTTGAGCTTAGGCTGATGTTCAGTCTCATCCAAATTGCTACATCGCCTCATGTAAGTATCTAGTGTTCTCTGCTTTGCAGGGCTGCTTCTCTTCTGGCTGGCTGAAACTTCCAAGGTTTTCTCTTGCCCATCGAGCATCTAATGGATCGATAATTAGAATTCAGTTGCAAAAAGGCACTAAATCATTACAAATACCCTGCTAAGAACTAACACTAAAGAAATGGCCAGTGTCGATGAAATTACCTGTCCCAAATTTTCCAATTTGCTCTGAACAACATCCCTGAAGAAAAATAACAGGTCGAACTTTCAAATCGTACATAGGCATTGTAATCAAGTGAGATCATAATTTGAGTTTAGTTATATTTAGATCCAAGTGCAACGGTTATGAACATACCAAATGATGTCATCAACTGTGTCATTGGCTAGCAGGTAATATATATTGACAGCAGAAACCTAAGCAAGAATCAAATCATGTCAAAACACGGGGCACACACAGGCAGTTGCCTGTAAAAAGTTTAAACAAAATTTAAGTGGAAACTCCAGACAAAGTAGGCCCCATAACTTCAATTCTCATAACTTGATTACCTCCCAAATTACAATTTCATACAATACTCAAATAAGCAAGGATTAAAAGCTACATGTGAAATACAGTAAAAAATTCAAGCAAGGGCTATCAAGCAATCTACTTTAGTTCCATCTATCAAGTCCTGGCATAGTGCATGAATTCAGAGAATGGTACTGAAGGTTATTGGTTCCTCAATCATTTGGACCAAAACATTCATGTATACATCATCACTAACATGTCATTGAAAGCATCCTACCATCAAAGATTCAATGAACCATCTAAAGGAAACTACACCAACCCCAAATCATTAGTGCAGCAGAAAATCAAAATCAGCTTTCCAGAGGAAGATTGTACAAATTTCAGAATTCTATATGGCCGGCACATCATATACATAACCAGTACTCTTTCATTTATTCATCTCTGATGCTAAGGCACCACCTATGATTCAAAAATTCCACCACCATGCCTTTGACATGTTTGAAAGAGGAAATCTTATTAATGTGCCGCTACAATTATTTCAATTTCTCAAGCAACTACCAATAGCAACCTAATAAATGTGCAAACTCTCACTAGAAACCACCACTTAGCACAGAAAACTAAGTAGCATATTTTGAGAGCTCAATGGGGGGCAAAAGAAAAGTGGAATTACACTAAATTGGAAAATCCTACAGCAAATTTTCAGTATTAGGTTTAAGCCTAAGCAAGCTAATACAAGGCTTCCGATTGTTGTAGGATTGATAACGAGGCTAAAGAACATCTCAACCTACTAAATGCAGTGTTCTGATTCTTAATCAAACAACTCAGAGAAAGATTAGAATCAGCTTATTGCAAAGTGAATGTAGGCAGCACCAATTTATACCCTAAACAGAATCAATTTATACCCTAAACAGAATCATTAATATGATTGATAACTATGAACAGTTTATATAAATCAACAAATAATATTCCTGGTTGACTGTAGTTTACCTGACCAATCCTGTGAACACGGTCTTCTGCTTGAATTAGGTCACCTGGTGTCCAAGACAACTCCGCAAAAATAACAGTACTTGCAGCTGTTAAAGTTAACCCAACGCCTGCAGCTCTGATAGATAGCTACACAAATACATTTTCACAGACAAACTTTGAGACTCAAGGCACAACTTGCACCAGACTTCAGTCAATTTAAAACGTACTATCAAATAATGCAAATCTTACCCAATATTCTTCCCAAAAAATCTAATGAATTGAAAGGAGTGGATCCTATCAATCCAATGGTCGAAATTTTCTGGGAAGTGATTTTGGGAAGAATAGCATCACCATATAGCTTCAACGCTAAGGACCAAAATTATAGGTAAGTAAATAAATGAAACAAATTGACATACCACTGCTGCCTTGATAGCATCCTTTTCCTGGAACTCAGTAACCAACGCTTGCCTTGAAGCAGCAGCAGTTTTGCCATCAATTCGGATGCAACCCACTTTCTTTTTCTGGAATTTGGAAGATCTCATAAGAATAAATCGATGTAAGCAAAATTTCAGTCAAATGAAAGTCGTATTACAAGAAGAAACTCATGTATTGAATCAATCATCGGTTGATGGTGAGCAAATATCAGAAACTTGCATCCTGCCTGCAAGGAACAATGCAACAACGGTGGTTTAACCATTAAAAAGAGGACAAAGTGGAAAGCAGTTTCGAAAAATAAATAAATCTCAGGGCATTTCAAAAACATTGTAAACAGTAATTATAACTACGTCCAAGCTCACTTTGAGTAAAGATAAGGGGTGTGGTGTAAATGAGGCAAATCTGCTTTACTTTCACTTAAGATTGAACCATGGATCAGAAATCTGCTTTTAATTAGTATTTCACTAGGACAAAACAATTGATTTGTCAGCTCACACTACCAAATCCAAGGCTGCCAATTGGATGGGCTTCAACAGGAAATTGAATTTAAGTGTACTCCATATAGACTATAGATCTTTCACACATACTTGCAGAATCTAATAAAGGTCCTAGAATTGTAACAACAAAATACAATGAGATTTGACACCTACGATATTTAAGCTTTCTGCAACAGAAACTAGCATTACAATTAATGTTGCAGACCTTACAGTGAATCTGACTTGAGCATGATTATGATCAAACTGAAAGCACAAGGAAGGACAACTACCTTCCTAGCACATAAGCAATAGAAGAACACCCCCGGAGAGTAAAGAAACATGCACTAAAGAAAGATAAAGAGAATGAAAGCACCTCGATGACAGTTCCCAGATAATCTAGAACCCCAGGTATCTTGGCTTCAGCAGAATCAGTATATATCTGCAATCCAACAAAGCATTGACAGGATAATGAAGTTGTGCAAGATTGGTAACGAGGACATTTATAGCACAAAAAATTTATGTCCTTGGAATTAATGAAGTGAAAAGAGAACAAGAACAGAGAGATGTCATTCTAATTTGATAGTACATGTACACACGGGAAAATATGTGAATATTACACTTAAATAATGAAACAGGAAAAAAAAAAAAAAAAAAAAAAAAAAGAAGAAGATGAAGTTGGCAAAAATGACCATTCAATCACATCATGGCCTACCATTTCTAAGTAGATACCTTGTTAATAAGATTCTTCTCAGTAAATTTCAGCGATCCAACCTCCTCTTCTGATGTGCATGCCTTAATTTTTCCTTTTACCACCTCCAACTACAAAACAGAACAACAATGCTCGTTATACTTTTTCTTTCCTTCCTTTCCACTTTTGGATACAAACTGCACTTCCAACTCCAAGATACTCAATTAACTTTACAGAGCAAGCACAAGTAAAAGATCAACCACCAGTGAGTTGAATTACCTCACGGAATAAAGCATTGATTTGTTTCATGCCCTTTTCAGGCAAATCAAGGAATACCTGTAAATCAGTTGTAAAAATTTGTAAAGGAACCATGGAAAAAACCATATTCTATGAATTCATCTGATACACATACTTAAACAATATAGCCATGGACAGGTAACCAGAGAGACACAGACACGAAAAGCTGAGAGAGAGCCAAAGACAGGCATGATTAAGCATTCTTCAGTGTCAAATTGATAACGATAATTAAATTGGAGTCATAGTCAAGTATGAATAAACATTTATTCAATGTCAATTAGTAATACTAATTAACGATCATGCAATATAATGTAGCTAAGGTCCAATAAACCCCCACGAGTACAACTCAAGCAATGTTTAATTTCCATCACCGATAAGAATTACTTCCATGTATAGCTTTTTAATCCCAAAACGTTGTGACAAGCCACTGATCAAAACTCTCGAACCAGTTGAAAATCATTTGCTTGATTGGACTTAAAAACAATTTCTTGCATTCCAAAATCTCAATTGATGTTAATACTTCCAAGCCGTTTCGGTCATGGAATAAAAATCAATCAAAAATGGATTTTTTGCAAGGAGCAAAACCTTACGCAAAATCTCCTAGCAACAGGTTAAGAACCATATCATAAGCAAAGGACAAAATGAACAAAGAACACTACCTGTTGCCGTCGTTTCACAGGAAGCTCAGAAAGGACATCCTTTTTAAGCCTTCGTATCATCACTGTTGCCTTCATTAAGTTGTGCAATTCTTCATGGTTACTTGCACCTTGATAAACTCCAAATATTCCCTAGAAAAATAATATAAAGCAACAACTATTGATTATCAAAAGATTTGACACTAGAGTAAACTTTGTAAACCAAGAAATATTTACTTACCCCCTTGCAATACCGGTTACCATATTCATGAACATTCTTGTATACATCAGGATACAAGGCTTCCAACTGCAAAGAGTGGTTAGTTTCATACAAAATTGTTAAGAAAATAAATCCTGGAAATCTTAAATGCAACGGGCTATCCAAGCATCATTTAAGGTACCTGCTTAAAAAGCTCTATTGGTCTGGATAAAGCAGGGGTTCCACTGAGCAATAATGCATATTGAGCTTTCTGAAATTGAAACCATTGTTAATTTCCATCACCAAGAATTAACAGTTTGTGTGTGTGTGTGTGTGTGTGTGTGTGTGAGAGAGAGAGAGAGAGAGAGAGAGAGAGAGTGGAGACATGCTGGTGACTGATGTAGCTAACCAGAAAGCATTTCCACAGATGGTTAGAAGCATATACTAAATGCAGTTAATCTAAATCTCGTAATGTTTTCTGATTTATTTGAAGACAGGTATTTCTTTTTGTTCTGTCTGTTTTTCAAGAGTGATGACTGTCAGATTGGCAAACTATGGATAGTGTTTCGCCATATCTTGGGAGTTTGAAATATGAAGTGGCTGCAGTCCTTACTGCCAAGAGGAATGCTTTCTATGCTCAAATCTGACTGGGTAACACATCTCAAATCCAATTTCATGTGATCTGCCAATTTTTGGACATTGACAATGATGTTCCATCATATTCTGATTTGCTAATTGCATTAAACCTACTTAAGGTTTAATCTGTATATTTCAGCTCCATACGAAATCATAGCATATCACTTAAGTGGCTATGACAACTCATCCTTTTTTGAGAACTTGTTCATAAATACATAAAGTGTGTCAGTGCGTGCATGCATGCAAATGAATGCTTGCTTCTGTAATACAACAAGAGAAAGCTGGGAGAACTACGAGCATTTTGGAAAAGTGAGTGTGCAAAGGGAATATGATTGCAAAACTTATTGTAAACAATTAAGGAGTGTATTTTTGGTGAGCTGCACGGCAGCGTATGATCTTGCATGAATGCAATCCAATAGCAACTCTTAACAGATCCAAGCATGTATTCATTTATCAAAAGAGGACAACGACCTTTATAACAGGAAGGGAGGCGGTTGTCCTCTTCGCTTGAGCATTTTTCAGGAAGTGTGACTCATCTGCAATCACAACCTGAACCAGAAAAAAAAAAATAAAACAAAAAAATAAAAAAAAATTATCAATACAAGGACGAAATGTGGCCAAGTCATAAATATACAGAATACACGTTTGTTAAGATCTATTCTTAACTGACACCAGGATGCGAATATACACAGATATAGGCATCTAGATTTTCTAGCTAATTCAATTGTTTTGGCACAATACATCAAACACCTGTAAGACAGTTAGTTATCTACTTTGATGCAGACCACACAGTTAGCTGAAAATTATGAACGAAAACCAAAAGAATGTTCCAGCATTTTCTTGTAGCATGTTCAATGTCCACATTTATTAAACTTTCCTCTTCATCCTGTTAAACTCCTCATAATTTCACCTTACAGATAATTGATCAAAGAAAATTGGACTACCCTAATGAAGGTGGAATGTATAGCCCAATTTGATAAACTACTTATTGGACTTACCTTAAACTCTGATGCCACTAATTTATTCTGCAACTTAGGAACCACATCGTAAGAGATGATGTTAAATAAGCCATCAAGATGAATAGTGCTCCTGGAACTTGATACTAAATTGAATCCAGCTCTGTTAGATCCACTCGATTGCGATAAAACAACCTATTAACACTCAGTTGTTAAGAAAAAAAGAACAAAAATGTACAAAACAAAACAAAATGGTAATCATGTTTCCAAGTATTGAGAAGGAAAGGAAAAGGGAAAGCAACTGAGGCAGAAGAGCAACGAGAATATGCTCAGTGTTATAGCTCTGACTATGGAAAAAGGAAAAGGAACCACAAAACTTCAAAAAGGACTAAATAAAAACATACAAGTATATCTGATGAAGGAATTTCAAGCCATTCGTGAATCATCTGCAATATAGCATGAGTATTAGGCAGCTGGAAAAATGCCTTGTTAGAAACTGACAGGCATATAGTAAAAAACCTACTGAAGCCCAATGCAAACGCAAGGAAGAGGGTGCAAGTATAAGAACAGGCCAGGAATCACGAACACATGCTGTTACAGCAATGGCCTGGAAAAAACATGAACAATTCCATTTTGCATGTTAGTGATAAGAATTTGTACATGAAAAATGATTTAAAAGAATATAGCCTAATAGTGACTTTTGCATCAGTTATATCTATCTGCTTAAGGTTTTAAATTGAAGCAATACAGAGTGTATGCACTATGCATTTAGCTCTCATAAAGGAAATGGAGAGGTTAGATTATATAGGATTGTGAGCCAAAATGCATGCAATAATGTATTTAAGCTCTATCCTTCAACAGAATGGAGAAATAGATAAGGACGTAGCTCATAGAATAAAAGTATGGTGGCTGAAGTGGACGAGTGCTATGGGTCTGTCAAGCCATGCTGTATAGGAATGAATTTTGGGCATCAAAGCAACAAGATACCCATAAGATGGCATGGCAGAGGTCCACATGCTAAGGTGGATGTGCGATGGCAAAAGAATAGATAAGATGGACATATCTGCCAAAAGGTCCACGTACAGCACGGTAGAGATAAAACACGAGGACACCTACGATGGTTTGCCCAAGTACAACTTAGGCCACCAGAGGCCTGGTTCGGAGAAATGAGAAGTTGACAATGGAAGAGATGAAAAGAGGTAGAGGGAGAACGAAGATAACGTGAATGCAAGTGGTATCGAAGGATTTAAACCATCTTTACAGTGAGGCGTTTTTGGTTTATGATTGTGCAAAATGGAGCACGAGTGACCCCAACTAGTTCAGGATTAAGGTTTTGTTGTTGTATTAATATTTCCACTCTAATATCAAATGCTAAGAGCTAAAAATATCAAGGTATCTACGGAACATAACCTGCTTTAAACTTATTAGCCAACTGCAAGCACAAAGCGAGAGTAGATAAATCTTGAAAAATTAAATTAAAACTAACATCCCCTAGTTAGCTTCACTAGAATAAAAATCAAATAGTAAATCAGCACATATTACAGTTATAGAGCACAGAAAAACATGGATATAATCATGTATTGGACAATAGATATTGCAGCAAATTAATTTGATACCATGGCAAGACATAACAACAAACAGGGATTAATAATTACAGCCTAGGTTCAGCTAGATACACAGCCTATAACCTAATATAATTCAAACAATGCTTGGACGCCAGGTAAGCAGCTACTTCTGTGACGCTACTACCAAGAGCATTACCAAAGCAACATACTCATATGGATGCAGCATGTAGCTTTCATAACGATATTGAAAGGATAGAAATAAAAATGAATAGATAAATTACCTGTAAAGTCTTTCCCAGTCCCATTTCATCTGCTAGGAGTGCGCGCCCACCATGTTGTAAAACAAACCTAAAGAGGAAAAAATAGAAATACGCGAAATGCAAAAGAGTCATAATTAAATGGTGCAGTATCATAGATTACAAAATAAACAAGGAACAGAAATTACTTTAGTCATTTGAGAGAGATATACTCCACATAGATCAAGTACAAATGAATAATGTGGAGATCTCCCCATGCAGATAAAGTAAAAGTAAATAATGTGGAAAACTCCCCAATACCTAACACCATCCCGCTGAAAAGGCATAAGCTTTGATTCAATATGGTCCGGTATCCTGTCATACCAGTCTTATAAAGGGAAGGAAAAGTCAGAAGAGTACACAAAAACAAAAGAAAGTTGAAGCATGTATGAACACAGTTACTCTAGGAGAAAGCAAAAAGGTGCATCCAATAAAACCATACAAAGCCCCCAAAATTCTGTTCTTTTCCTGTATTTAAAATGCACTTTGTAGGATCAAAAGACATGTTCAGAGCACCTTTGATTATCACGTCCCAAAATTTACATCACCATAAGAACTTTACAGTGTACACCAATTCAATGTTCTAAAACAAGATATTTACTATTATTATCATGAAATTCAACATAACAGTATGTTTAAAAAAAAAACAAAAAACCATCAACGGAAAGGCAACTTATATATGCATATATCAATATAAGATAAATTTTTATTTGCAAATTTAGCATTTACCTCGAAGATCTGGAGCAGCAGACACCGCAGCAATAGCACGTTGAACTAAGGCGTCTAACTTTTCTACCTTGAAACATCAAGATATGATGGGTTGAAGACACATAATAATTAAACAAAAAAAGTTTAAACATATGCATGGTCAATTAATAAGAACTAAGCATGCTTATAAGATTAACTAGGAAACTGTTCTGCAAAAAGAAAAGAACACATCATGCAATGTGTAAGGTGAAACGTGAAAAGGAACCAGTGATGATTCAATTAAGTAATTAGCCACCACCTAGCAATCAAATTAAATCATGAAGAGGAGGAAGAAAAATTAGTAATCACCTCAACATTAAAACCAGGTATTTCACTGAGAATCTTTTCTGCTGACAGCAAAGAAGACACTGGGAAAATCCACAACCTGCGGGTTCAACAGTGAGGACCAAGATAAGGCTGCACTTAAGAAAAATTCCGCATCACACTCGTACTGTTCTAGAGCACTTTGAATAAATAATAAACACAAATCCATGCATATTTGTAAGATGAGAGACCTTTCTTTTGCATTCCAAGTGGCTTTAGGGACCTTGCGGAGAGCACCTACTAGTACCTGGTATGATTTAAGGCATAATGTGTGAGAAAAAGAACGGACTTTCATAAGCAATTGAAATTAACATATAGTAGACAGGCAGGTAGGAAATTATTACGGGGTCATATGTGAATTTTGCGGCAATGTTTCCAGTAGCATGAAGTATAAATTTGACTGAGAGCTTTGGCAATGCCTTGGAACTTTCAACTTCTTGAGCACAACCACCACATTACATGCAGATAAGATAGCGCCAATAATTCAGCCACATAGTATAGTATGTAATGTGAAAAATTTAAACTGCTGTTTGTAATTACAACACTTTGATCCATAATTTGAAATAAAGTTGAATATAGAAACAGTAGCCCTAAACCAATAAAAAGCAGACAATTAATCAGAGTGGAAAGTCGGGAACTGACCAGCCTTTGGTTTTGATACCGGCGATGATTTGGGCAGGGCAGGAGGCAAACAATCTATCTGAATTAGCAATTTTTTTTTTTAAATAAAGAAATAAAGAAGATTAGGGGTTAGGGGTTTATTTAAAAATGTTAAATCTTTATACAACGAAGAAATAGAAAACCCTTAGAATACCAGGGAAAAAATTGATTGAAGGAGAAACCAATAAATGGCTTGTTAAAATACTGATGAGTAGTAGTAAAGTAAGGCGAGGCAAAGGCATAATAAAATTTGTGAAGGAAAGAAAGAAAGAAAAGGTGAGGACTTTACCTTTTTAGAAGGAGAATTAAAGATGGGTTTGTCGTTAAAATGTAATTGTTGGCTTTGTTGTTGATTGAAAGAAGAAGCAGCAGCAGAAGGGCAAGGTTGGTGATGGTGTTGCTGCTGAGATGCTATCTTCTGCAGAGCGTCTCTTTCAAGGGAATCGAATTCTTCAGCGCTTAAACTCCAATCGTCGTCATCCAATTCCATTTTTTTCAGATTCTAAGACTCAAAAGAGTTGATGATTATGAAATTTTAACAAGAAACGAGAAGGGGTTTTCCTTTTTTTTCTCTTTCTTTTTCTTTTCAATTTCAAAACTGGGGATTGGAGAGTCTTTTCGTTTCAAGTTTGGGTTTTTCAGTTTATCTTCTTCTTATTAATTGCTTGGTTTTTAGGCTTATGAATGGATGGAATGCCCGCTCTTTTTAGAATTTAGATTCCGTAACAGCTACTTTATTTCCTTTTGCTATATATATATAGCCAGTTTCCTGTATTATGTAGCTAGCATTCTCAAGAATGACATCCTCGAGCAAACAACAAGATAGAAAAATTGGACATTTCCACTAATAACAGTATATATAATTCTCTTAATTTAATTACTACAGTAGAAGGGGTAATGATTAATTAATTGGTTTTCATCTTTCACATAAACATATGTTAATTTGATTCATTGAAATACTATTAGCAGGAAATAATTGTACTAGTTAAATTTGAATTCTTTCAAAAAAAAAAAAAAAAAAAAACATTAGCAACACAGACAAAAAGGCTTCTTTAAATTATTTTGTTTCTTTTCTTGACATCACACGGTTCTAGGATATATATGATCAAACATTTTGGATTTGAAGATGGGTTTGATGAAATGAGGAACAGGACATGTATATGACAACAACAGCAGGTTAAGTCAAAGACATGCATTAATCCCTTCCCTATATCCCTCCAAACATTTCTCCATTTATGATTCATGTGATTGTGAAGCCATGCAGTTCAGGGCATCGGCCATGTAGAGATAGATGATCAGGAAATTACGCGGTGGTTTCCAGAGATGAGATCATGAAAGTACGGGGGCGTTTCCAGAGTTGTGGACAAAACAAGCCCCTGCTTTCTGATCAGGACTAATTAGTTCCATCTCTCTCCCCAGTCCAGTTCTGCTATTTTATCAACTTCAATGTTTCCCTTACCTTTTATTTACACCAAATAATATTGAAAATCGAAACTTCATCAAGGTATGTTAATTGTTTTACCTATTTTTACGACTAACCATCATCGTTTATCATTTAGTTTAGTTTTTTGTTAAGGTCCTCATCACCCAATTAACACAAATAATTAATACGCATGCATGCCACTGGTTCCATAATCTTGTTGTTGGTTTTTTTATTATTTTTTTATTTTTCCCTGGAAATTGGTGAAGTAATTAAGAGAAATGGAATTTTGTACAAGTAGCACGTATCTTATATATGTGCTGTGCAATGAATTATGGACAAATTTTACAATCCGCATAAATTTTGTTGAAGGAGAAAACTGTTGTGATCGAGCATGGCGGTGATCAGATTTCTTCTAATTGCTATCTGCATGGGAGCTTGGTTTGATGGCTCCTTTCCTTCTACAGCAGCATCTGATGGGTTAGCGAGAGTTGGTCTAAAGAAAAGGAATTTAGACCTTAACAGCATAAATGGTGCCAAGATCACCAGGCCTCAGACTACATCCTTTGCCAGAGTTAGTGCAGATCATAACAATACCAGCTTGAAAAATTCAGATGCAGAAATAGTTTACTTAAAGAATTATCTTGATACCCAATATTATGGAGAGATTGGCATCGGATCACCCCCACAAATTTTCACTGTTGTGTTTGATACCGGCAGCTCCAATCTTTGGGTTCCATCTTCAAAATGTCTTTTATCAGTAAGTACTATTAATTAAGTAATTAGCTACTCTTCTGGTCTTTCGCCATTCAATAGGGTTATAAATTGTTAAATTGCGCTACAATGCAGATTACGTGCTACTTCCATTCCAAATTTAGGGCAAGGCTATCCAGTACTTATACTAAGATCGGTAACTTAACCTTTGAACTAACCCTATGTGTTCACGTTAATTTCCAAAATTATGCATGTCTGCCGAGCTTACAGTTAACAGGTTTGTTGGATTCTTAATCAGGCATACCGTGCAAAATTCAATACGGTTCTGGGTCTGTTTCTGGGTTCTTAAGCCAAGATCATGTCAAAGTTGGGGATGATACCATTATAGACCAAGTGAGTTCTGCTTTATCAAAGTTTTATGCTTTAGACTTGTTTGTGTTTCTGCTGCTATACTGACCTTATAACCTTAATTTCTCATCATTCAGGAGTTTGCTGAGGTAACAAGAGAAGGACTTCTAGCACTCTTAGGTATGCAGTTTGACGGCATCCTTGGACTTGCATTTGACGATATTGCTGTTGGAAAAGCTACACCAGTATGGTATAGTTCTAGCTCAATCTTAAATTATCTGAAACGGAAAGTGTCTGTCTTCCCTTCGTAAGGGACAAAGGAGAGGAAATTTCAATGGATAAATGTGTGCATTTCATTATTTGTCTTCAATCATGAAGCATCCCAAAATGTAGATTGGTGGTTTGTGTACAGGTATAATATGGTTGAACAAGGTTATGTAAGCAAGCAAATTTTCTCTCTATGGCTAAATCGCCATCCATCGTCAGAGATGGGAGGGGAGATTGTCTTTGGAGGTCTAGATTGGAGGCACTTCAGGGGTGAGCACACATATGTCCCAGTCACTGGAAGGGGTTACTGGCAGGTCTGATGAAGTTAATAATTTAGAAATCTCTTTTAGCTTCTTCCTCCCATCAAAATTATTGAAAATTTAACTTCTTAACTCATTCTTAATTACAGATTCAGGTGGGAGATATTTTCATTGCAAACAATTCAACAGGTGATGCCATAACATTGACATATGCTATTCAAGTGTAACTTTTTTTAATGGACTCTCAAGTTTGGCTATTTGTAAATGATTATTCTAGTCTTAGCCCTAGATGTATAGGCAAACCATCTCTATATCAATGTTTGAAATTTTCAGGATTGTGTGCTGGTGGCTGTGCTGCCATTGTGGACTCAGGGACATCCTTTCTTGCTGGACCAACTGTAACTGTTCACGTCTCATTTTCTCTTAATCTTAAGCTACTCTTAGTTATCAAAATGAGAAGAAGAAAAAACTCTTACCAGCTCTCGTTTACAGAGTATAGTGACCCAAATTAACCATGCCATTGGAGCAAAAGGAATTGTGAGTTTGGAATGTAAAGAAGTTGTGTCCAAGTACTGGAATTTAATATGGGATTCAATAATATCTGGGGTTAGTTACTTCTTTGACTTCTACTTTCTCTTTTAACCTCGTTTTTATTGAACAATGGATTATTCTCAAGAGAGAAGAAGGCATTCTTTCTTACAATTTGCTCCCCATGTCTGCAGTTAAAGCCTGAAGTTATATGTGTCGATCTTGGACTATGTCTATATAATAGCGGCACTATTATTGAGAGTGTCGTGGATGGTGAAGCTGCAGATAGATTATCAGTTCATGAGGGTGGTGCTTTATGCACTTTCTGCGAGATGATTGTTTTTTGGATTCAAGTACAACTTAAAGAAAAGAAAGCTAAGGAAAGGATATTTCATTATGTTGACGAGGTGATCTCTTTTCGTGCACCAATACTTTTTCGAGCTCATCCCTCTCTTGTTTTGTGGGATCACAATTAAAATGTATCTGTTTGTCTGTTAAAGCTGTGCGAGAGGCTCCCTAATCCTCTAGGAAAATCATTTATCAACTGCGATGAAATCTCAGCCATGCCATATGTTTCTTTCACCATAGGAAACAGGAGCTTTCCTCTGTCTCCGGAGCAGGTGTGTGTGGGTTTTACGTGATTCCTTAAGCAATTGATAGTTCATACGAGTAGTGGGAATTGTTTTTGAAGGGATTTTTAATGTTTTTCTTTTTTTTTTTTTTTTTTTTTTTGCAATTTTGTTTAGTATGTTGTTAGAGTTGAAGAAAGCTACGCTACCATTTGCTTGAGTGGGTTTGCAGCTTTAGATATGCCTCCACCAAAAGGTCCCCTTTGGTACGTCATGCCTTCCTCTTGTTTGCTATAACGAACATACAAATCCATTTTTAAGTGTAACATTGATTGATGTCTGATGCAGGATTCTTGGAGATGTGTTTTTGGGAGCATACCACACGGTATTTGATTTTGGTAATCACCGGATAGGATTTGCAAAAGCTGCCTAGTCTCCTCTACATGCAAAATGTTTAGATTGGGTGCGTGTTTGCTCTTTACTTGCAGCCCTGTAGCCTTCTTTTAAAGCATATCAGGACTCTGTCATGTAGAATATAACCCATAATCAGAATTGGCTCCCTTTTCCGTCTCACCCTCGGAGCTTCCGCTTCCATATTTTGAAGACAGAAAATATCAAGCAATTCAGTTCAATGTCTGAAGATCGATAAAAGATCAATAAATCTGTCATATAGGGTGCTAATCAAAGATTATAATGCAGGAATCGATGCTACAATTATTCAAGTAAATCTGAAGTTGAAAATGATAAAAGCATATCGACATTTCAAGCTCCATAGAATGCCAGTCATTAGTGAACAATTGCATTGAAAATGAAGCTTATCGTTCAGAATAGAAGTAAAGAATAGAAGTAAAGAAGGTTCCAACTAGCATAACAAACAAATGAAAACACTTAATACATCTGAAATTTCTCCTTTGTTTTCTCAAAGACTTGTTCTGCAATGATGGCCTGGCTGCCATCTGCCCTTTTGATCTCTAACTGGGACTTTTGATAGAAGCTAGTACCCCGCAATGCATCAGCAATAAAATCATCAAAGCCAATAGCAATAGCTGCTTCTGCCTTGGCTCCATAAACCAACCTCTGACATCAATGCACCAGAAAATCCACAATATGTTATGCCCTGAACCTCAGGGACAGGGAAGAATGAGAAGAGCAGAAAATACCTTTATTCGTGAAAGGTGGATGGCACCAAAGCACATGGGGCAGGGCTCACAAGAGGCATATATTTCACAGTCAGAAAGCTCAATTTGATTGAGCTTTTTACATGCCTGGTAAAACAAACCATTAAGAGATGAGATGAATCAACTCTCTAAGCCTTTATGCTTGAGTTTTATGAACATCACACCATTCATTCCATCTCAAGGAAAATAAAGGGCCATGATAATCTTTTTGGTAAAAAATCGAAGAAGCGCAAGAGTGCCTACTCTCATGGATTTTATTTATATGGAGCAGATACACAGCTCTCAAATAGCCACTGTATCTGCTCACAGCCCAGCTGACTCTGGTTATTATTTGCAACACCGTAAGTCCCTACCAGGGCATCTTACTTTTCAAATAGCCACTTCTATTGTTTTAACCCTTCACGGAGCCACAGAGCACTCTCTTCCTTTTAGTTGCACAAATGATTGCGCACTAACAAGATGAATGTATCATACTTCATAGGGTCACAAAAACAGTCATCCATTCCATGGAAACTGTCCCTTTTCACATCAAAGTGCTTTGAATTTTCACACCTCAATCCAGTTATTAAAGAAAAGAAATGGTTAAGAGTAGTAGTACATTAGCTAAATTGATCAAAAAGAGAGCGGAAAAAAAAACTGTTGTAACCGCCAGTAGTGCAGTGACAATAACATTGCCGATGGACCATAAACATGCGAGCAAAATGAAAAAAAAAAAAAAATAGTAGTTGATATAGCAAAGCGAATTAGAAGACAGAAGAAAAGTTTGGCAAACCCAAAAGAATCTTATACATGTGTAGGTTAGTGCACTGCACATAGTCTAGTAATATTTAGCTCATTGACAGATCTCGCCAACAATTATTAAAGTACCTAATATGAAAGAACACGGAAACAATGAAGCAATATAACCGAAATGTAATGTTATAATATAATGAGAAATTAAATGTAGAAAGAGCAGCGAAAAAGAAAATAACAATACAAGAAAGAAACCTCTCTAATAGCAGTGACCTCGGCATGGGCAGTAGGATCAGTATGCTTTAAGACCATGTTGTGACAACTGACAACAACCTCATCGTTGAGCACGACAACAGCACCGAAAGGACCTCCATCTCCGCTTTCAACCCCTTTATAAGCTTCTTCAACTGCTTTTGTTAGAAATTTGTGATCCCTGTTCTGCACAGCTGGTGAAAATACATCCAAATCGAAGAAGAATATAATTATCAAAACAACAATAAGAAACTGTAGTATTCGTAGCAGTAAAAACAAGGAATTTTAAATTAAGTATACTGCACCTTCCTGATGAGCAGGAAATGCAGAAGCTACTGAGATTGTTCCCTCCTTAGTTTCAACCACTGCAATGCATCCAGAACAAAGAAGTTAAAAAGAAAACATAGATTACTATTATTAGTATAATAATCATAAATAGTAAAAGCTTAACTAAGTGATATTAGCATGGACTGATTTGAACGAAATATAATGCCATTATCTACCTATTAATATACATGGACCAAAAAAAAACAAAAAAAACAAAATTTGAATGCGGTAAAATGGACAAGTAAATGAACAGATCATTGCAGGAAGGAATCATAAAATCACCAAACTATAAAAAAATGGAAATCTAAAACAAGGAAAAGAGAGAGATCCTCAAGAATAGAATATACAGATCGGCGATGAACTTAAAGAGAAAGGGAGAAACAGAAGGCATATAAATATATCTATATATATACTTACCATTGGCTTCCTCCATGACTGCTGCTGCTCTTGCTCTTCTATTAAATCAAAATTCAACCTCCAAATTAAGGTTGAATGGAATGGAAATGGGTAGATTTGATTAGATTTTTTATTTATTTATAAAATAAAATAAGAGGGAAGAAGTAAGGAAGAGGAAGAAGGAAAGAAATACAGAATTCTCCTTTTCTCTTCCTGATCCATCCACTAGCATTTATTAATTGTATTGCTTCCTTGTTGCCAAACCGACACATCAAAAGAAAAAAGAAAAACCATATTATTTTTTTCCTCTCAATTATTTTAAACATCAAAAGAAAAAAAATGTATTATTTTTTTCTTTAAATTTTTTAATTATTTACAAATAATAATATGATCATTGATTCAACCTCACCATGTGTTAGTCAATGATTTTGTATTTCTATTGTAGTCTAATTATTTCAAGGTATTTCAACCGTCAAATTTCTTATTTTCATCATTATTCCATCAACGTAAAACTTTTTATGAACACGCTTGCTTTTCAGTTTTTTTTAATACACATTTAATAACAGTGATATAATAATAAACATTAATAAAGAGAGCGTACTAGTAATTTTCAAATATATATATATATATATATATAAAAGTAGTGAGAATAATCAATTTGATGGGGAAGTTTACAACACTCTTATTTATATATAAGTTTTTTTTTTTCAAAAAGTGGTTTATATAAGTTGGTTGGCTGAAAAGAATATATGTGTGGATGAAAATGATCATAAAGAATTGAGAAAAGCCTATTTGTATCATTCCTAACATTATTTATTATTGATGAGTTTTTAGTTCCTTGGAAATAATCTTTTAGATATTATTTGATAATCGGAAATGAATATTTTGAAATGATACTATAGGAATTGGAAGGACATACAAATCCAATTGTTGTATTTAATATATCTTACTTTTGAGAATCAAAATGAAACATTAAAATTAATAATTATTATGTTTGACATAAACAAACGAAATCGAAATAATATTATATATTTATCATTGTATTTTTCTATAGCAAAAATAAATCATCATGAAAGTAATTAATTTCTTTTAAAAAATTATATGAAGTTTTTATTATTATTATTGTTATTCTTTAAAAACCAGATTGCTTGTTTTATACACTTTTTTTGCATCATATATATTGTTTTCCTCCAAGTTGGAATTTTTAACAATAAACCTTCGAGCCATATTATTATATTTTCTTGCTTAACTCGATCAACTCGTAGATTTTTTTTGTTATGCATCATATATATTGTTGATGGGAGTCGCGGAAGCGCACGACAAAGGAGTCACACCTCGGCTAATCGAGGAGAACTAGAAAACCCTAAAACAAACCGGTCTATATAGATATTTGGATAAAAGATCGATTACGTATGAATAAGATATCACATCATAGTCATCTCGTTTTACCTAAGATAGACTACATTGAATGCATGTGAAAATAAAAATTTGATTTTATTATATTATATTTTTATGTCTATTTGAGTGAATTTATTTTGTTGGGATGGAATAGCAAAGTGATTTGGGGTTTAGGTCGGTTCAAAGTCAATAATCATACTCAAAAGAGGAAAGGTAGGTAAAGATTGAAATTTTGGCTAATCTTTAACCAACACAAACTCGTATCATCAAATAAGTGAGTTTTTAAAGATGAAGAGCCTATATTAATATGAATAGGAAGTCATCGACAATTTCGTTCACACAAGTGGGAAGTCACCGACGACTTCAATTCATACAACAACAAAACATTAAGAAAATATTTAGAAGCCACCGATGGCTTCATACAACAACAAAACATTAAAAAAATATTTAGAAGCCACCAACGGCTTCATCCACTGAAGTAAGAAGCCACCGATGGTTTCAAATCATGAGTTTAGGAAGCCATCGATAATTTCATCACGTAAGTAGAAGCCACCAAGCAGCTTCTTCCAAATAAATAAGAAGCCAATGATGTCTTCAAACACAACATTCGTGAAGTCGCTAACGACTTCAAATCATAACTTTTGAGAAACCACCGACGACTTTGTCCACACAAGTAGGAAGCCACCCACAACTTCGACCATAATATTTAGAATATTATTGATGACTTTAAATTGTATCATTTAGAAAGCCATCGATGACTTCGCCCATAACATTTAGAAAGTCGTTGAAAACTTCAAAGCGCATCATTTGGGAACCCATTGATGACTTCATCCGTATAAGTAGGAAGTCATCGATAACTTCGTTCATAATATTTAGGAAGCCACCGATGACTTTAACTTGCATCATTTAGGAAGCCATTAATGACTTTATCCATATCATTTAAGAAGTCACTAAATGACTTCAACTCACATCATTTGGAAAGCCACCGATAACTTCGTCCGCATAAATAAGAAGCCACTAATAACTTCGTCTACATAAGTATGAAACCTATCGACTATTTTGCCTACAATATTTAGGAAGCCACCGATGACTTCAACTTACATCATTTGAAAAGTCATTGACAACTTCGTCCATACAAATAGGAAGTTACCGACGACTTTGCCCATAACATATAAAGCAGGTAAATTAGTTTGAAAGCCACTAGTGGCTTCATCCACATAGGTAAAAAGCCACCAAAAAAACTTTATTTCAATCAAACGAAACCATGTAAAATGATTTAGAAGTCACTCGGTAGCTTCGTCCACACAAGTGAAAAGCTACTAATAATTTTATTTCAATCGAATCGAAAGCAAATAAAATGATTTGAAAGCCATTTGCGTCTTATCCATATAGGTGAGAAGACATTAACAGTTTCATTTCAATCAAATAGAAATCAAGTAAAATGATTTATAAATCACTAACGACTTTGTTAGCATAAATAAGAAGCCACCATAGCTTCCTTTCAAGCACACGTAAAATTAGGTAATCATAGTTTGAATATGAATATGACGAATTCGACACATCACATTCAATATTTTTAATTGATCACCATCAAAAAAATTTCATATTTCAAAATAAAGTAGTTTAATTAATAATATTAAATGAGTATAAATTTTTTTATGTTACCCAAGACAAGTCAAAAGATGCCGAAACCGGTAAAAACTATGTTTGGGGGTTAATTCTACATTTTTCATCCCTAATGAGGATTGATTATTTAGTTAGCTAGGAAAGAAAAACAATTGCATGTTAAAGCATCAAAGAGGCTATTATGAAATGATCAAAATTCCCCTAGTTAGTTATGAAACAACCAAAATACCTTACACATAAAAATTACTAAAATGCCCTCATATACGTACTACACAACCTCGCCATTATCCAACCATCATTAATGGTTGCTCTAGCCACCTTCAAGTGCATGGACTAGCCTCGCAAGGTGGAGGATGTCTTCCTCATCTTGCTGGGGTGGTAGTCATCGTTGTCATTGAATAAGGACGGAGATCAACGGCAATGAGTAAACTATCTTCTTCTTCCTCATCTCTCGTGGTGATTTTGGCTATGACTATAAATAAGGTAAACACCAATCAATTCGGGGGACTACAAGGAGTGATTCTCTAGAGATAAAGAGGGTCGATTTGGTCTTGATTGACCAATTTGGCCTTGATTAATCGATTAGGTCGGATCCATAAAAACAAATTGAGATTGATGGTTAGCTTTGATTAGCTTGATTTTGGTGGTGTTGAGCCATAATTTTTATGGTAAACACCTTCTAAGAGGGTGAAAAGGGTCTTTATGGTGGTGGTAAGCATTGATTTGGTCGGGAAATGACCCAACCTAACGAGTAGGAAACAAGTTGGTCACGACTAGCCTTAGTGATTTTTAGTGAATTCGAGTGTTTTTTGGTCGAATTTCTTAAGCGTTTTGGTTAGCTTTATATGGGGAACATTCTTTGTAACACCTTTAACATAGGACCTCGTAGGTCGAGAATATTATTGCTATTGACTTCGTATTTAAAGTGAAATGAATGCAAGTCAACGAGATACTACGTCTTTCCTATGACATTACCGAGTATGAGTTACGCTCGTAAAAACCTATAAAGGACATATAGGTTCTATGTTTTAGTCCAAAATGCATTATTAATTTTTTGTGTTCTATTAATTTATTTGAAATGCTTGGACTGAATAGAATGGATATATGACATATAGGTCCTATGTCAAGCTACTTTGTATAAAATGACCTTAAAAACCTTCCTTATCCATCACTCTATGCTTATTTCCTCTCTTAGATTTAATACTTACTCTCTTTCTCTCTTTATTATTTTTATTTTATCAATTTTTTGTTTAAATTAACTTATAATTTTTATCAATTTTTAAAAAATCTACTCTTTTTTGTCTCTTTAATCTTCTCGATGATGATGATGTTTTTAATAAAACATCAAATAGAAGTAATGATGATTATAATGTCGCCGATGTCGATGATCTGGATGGAGGTAAAACATGTTTAATATATAATTGACAATAGGAATTATTGGTTTGTTGTGTGATTGATCGTCAAGTTTCGCTCATGAAAAGTGTGAGCTAGTGTTCATGTCTTGTTTTGGGATGCATTAAAAAAATTAGCTTGGTCGGCTTAGAGCAAGATCCGCTAAAAAAACCCTAATTATTACCGCCTTTAGCCTATGTTAACTAGTTGAAATAGTTTAGCCCGGAGAACATAAATCTTTCAGCCAAATCGATCGTCTAAATTTAGATGACGTTGCATGATTTTAGTGGTCAAGAACTATCCTTTTTCACTCGCAAATACCAGACCTCACATCATTGTGAGAGGATTAGAACTTCTACATCCAAAAACTTTTGACTTTAAAACTTTTAATCTCTAGTAAAAAAAAAAACCAAAATCTTAATCTCAAAGCTCTCCCAATCACACACTAGATAACACTTAAAGCTCTACTTTTTAGACCTTAACTACCCATCTATCGACCACATAACTTGTACCATACTAGCATTAACTCGCTTTTCCTCCTATGTCTTTTACTATTTGCATCTTTTCTATTTGGATGGTTGGTCGTTGCTTTTATAAATCACAACACTAGCTCTCTGCATC